CTGCTGAGCCATCTCTCCAACCCCTGATTTATTTTTTATTTTATGTGTATGAGTGTTTGCCTGCATTATATGTAAGTGCACCACATGCATGCAATGCCTGTGGAGGCCAGAAGAGGGCATCAGATCCACTGGAACTGGAGTTAGGGATGGTTGTTAGCCACCAAGGTGCTGGGAACTGAACCCAGGTCCTTTGCAAGAGCAGCCTCGTTTTTGTTTTGTTTTGTATATTTTTATTGAATGTTTGTGCATTTCATACAAAACATCTTAATCATCTTTATACCCCTTCCCCATCCAGACCCCCCCCCATAGCCCACCCCACCAGATTTCATGCACTCTGTCATATATGTTAAGGTCTATCAAGTCAAGTTTGTGTACCCGGACGTCCCTCAGTGCAAATTCATTCACTGGGGTCTAGTCAGCCTGTCTAGAATCTCTCCCGTAAAGAAGATCAACGTGGGGCTAGAGAGATGGCTAAGAACACTGACTATTCTTGCAGATGATCTAGGTTCAAATTCCAGCACCCACATAGCAGCTAATAATTGTCCATACTCCAGTTCCAGGGGATCTGATGGCCTCTTCTGTCCTCCACAGGCATTGCATGACATAGGTTCACTTACATACATGTAGGCAATTCACAAATACACATAAAATAAGCAAACAAACAAACAAAAGACTATCAGCTCTCAGTCGCCCGGCAGTAATCAGCTGCAGATAGTTCTTTGGCTAAGGTTGGGGCCTGCTGCCCATTTCCACAGTTCTATACTGTTTTTTGTGTCTGCTTGAGTTCGCATAGGTCCTGTGCATGCTGACACCATTGCTGGAGGTTCATATGAGCAGGGTCCCAGGAGCCTGTAGGACTCTGTTTCCATATGGTCCTGCACCTCCTTTCCTGACCCTTACAATCTTTCTGCCCCTTCTGCAGTGGTCCCGGAGACCTGGGTGAGTGAGGCCTTTTGTGTCACATGAAAGAGCTTCGTTGATGAGAGTTGAGAGATGCATTAGTGTTCTCTCTCCCCTTGTTCCACTGTGTTCTGTGAGCCTTAGGCGTACAGGTGCCATTGTGATGTGTCACTTAGGGTTGGGCATCTCACAGACACTTATTCTCTGTATGTGACCAGTCGTGGAACTTTGTAATAGCGTTTGCTGTCTTTTTTTTTTTTGTAGCCATAGCTGGCCTGGAACTCACTATGTGAACCAGGCTGGCCTCAAACTCACAGAGAGCCCCTGGCTCTGCCTCTAGAGTGCTGGATTAAAGGCATGCGCCACCACGCCTGGCACTGTCCCAGTATTTTAGTTGGGATTTCCATGCTCATCTATGCTCAGATCTTCCAGGAATTTTCCAGCACTTTTGTTTGTTGGGAACACCATCTACTTTTGTGCTTATGGCACAGATTTGTAGCAGATGGCCACTTGGCAGAAAGCCAAATGTAGAAATGGATCCATCCTAGGTTAAGACTAAGTCTGTAGTTTGAATATTTTAGCATCAAAAGAGAGTAGTGTCCTTAGGCTGGAGAAATGGCTCAGCAGTTAAGAGCACTGGCTGTTCTTGCAGAAGACTTGGGTTCAAATCCCAGCACCCACATGGCAGCTAACAACCACCCATAATTCCAGTTCCAGGGTATCCAACACCCTCTTCTGACCTCCAAGGGGCATTGCATGACAGAGATACACTTAAATACAAATACTTGCAGGCAATACACTCATACACATAAAATAAAAATAATAAAAAAAA